GATATAATTAAGGTGTATATCACCATGGCCTTCTCTGACGTCATTAGGAGTTGACATATATGAGGACCCAAGTTGAGCAGAAGCACTGCTGGTTGCAGCTGTCTTCTGAATTTCCACATGGAAGCCACCCAGAATTGCTTCAAAAGAGATGGGTGGCAAATAAATGTAATAAAGCAAAATAAAATAATAAAAAATATAAACTTGAATCCAGAAGAACCTCCAGATTAGCTATCTGATTCTTCAGCATCCAAGACAGGCTGAAATCAGTTTTCTAATTCCATCTGCTTCCTGACTAAGACCACCTGTCTCTCTCTGGATTAAAGCAGAATGTATTAGCCCACATCCAGTATCCATTATTGCTACTAATTCAGCATGTCAGCAGTTTTATTGGCAGTAGATAAAGAGGTATGGAGCTGTGTATGTGTATGCACATGCATGCATGATGTGTTTTTAAGGGCTTCCAGTGTATTCATATATTACATTTATGACTTAGTCTTTTGTGTACATTTATGACTTAGTCCAGTAGTGGCGAACCTATGGCACAGGTGCCAGAGGCGGCACTCAGAGCCCTCTCTGTGGGCACGCACGCCGTCGCCCCAGTCTAGGCCTTCAGCTGGATTTTATAAAACCTTTTCGCTTTAGGCCTCCACCGCCATGTGCAAAAAAAAAAGAGGTTCAATCAATCAGTCAATTTCAACTTCTTGCGGGAAAAAAAAAGATCTTGCAAAGTTGGAATTGATTGATTAAACTTTTTAGTACCACCGCAGCCACGCCCAGCCAATTGGCCACACCCAGCCAATGGGCCAGACCCACCTGGCACCCGACGATGCATAAGTGGGTTTGGGGTTGCAGTTTGGGCACTCTGTCTCTAAAAGGTTCACCATCACTGACTTAGTCTTTTGTGATTCCCTGAAACATAACTAATTTCCATCACTCTGTTGTCTGCAAATGTCCTATAACGTTGTCAGAGGTTTGCATTAAATCCCTCTTTAAGGACGAAGGGGATATTATGTAAATATGTCCTTTGTCAAAACAGCAACAATGCAGTCCTAAGCATGGATATTTTGAACTCTGACCATGTATAGCAAGCTCAGAATTCGCTTTTGAGCCACAGCAGCAATGATCTCTCTCCTCTTCTCAAATTAGGGTGCACATCATATCTTTGAAAATGTACAGAGCTTGATTTAAAAGAACATTTAATTCCAGATCAGTAGGCAAAACAAAATATAATGCAGATTTTTGTGTTGCCACAATCTCCTGCCTTTCAAAAAGACCCAGAAACTATAATTGTTATAAAATTAATCTATAAAGCCCTACATAGTTTGATTCCAAAGTATTTCAGGAACTGTCTCCTGCCAGTAGAATGTGCCTAATTTACACGTGTATGTGTGGAAAGAAGGTTTATGGTCCTGTCCTTGCAGACTCCTTCTTATTGGCCCCCGGGATTTGGATACCCTGCTTCTGGAGCTATACTTGTGCTCCCTTCCAAAGAATATTTCTCAGGCAGCAAACACTGCACTATTTAATTGGGTGTTTATGCTGGGTGACTTTTATGGTTTTGGTTGACCCATTATAGATGGGATAACAAGTTCTTCTCATTTATATTTATTGTCTGGTTTTTCACTGAAATGGTTGATTCCCGTATTTTGAACCTTACCACTATAAATCTCCTGGAATTATAAGCAGTTCTGAAACTGTTACAGAACACTTGATAATGGCAACATGAAGGGAGGAGGAATTTCAGTTTACTGATCCATTTACATTAGCAGGACGCCATTTTACATTCCTGTTTTCCTAATGCAGGTGTCCAGCTCCTTGCAGAGACTGGACATCTTGTCTGTGATTGGGGGAGAAATATCCTTAGTCACCCCAAAAACGGTGCAAGTTTAAATTCAGAATGATGGGTGAAGTAGATATGGGTATAAAGTAAAGATGATCTTGAGAAAGAAAGGTGGGGTGGGGGGAGTTAAGCACAGTCCGACTTACAAAGATTTGGTTATGGTAGCCAATAGTAGTAAAAGTGAGTTTTAGTCTTCTTGTGGAGTTAACAACTTGTTTGGCCTTCTCAGTGGGGCTGATAGTATGCCTCCCCTTTCCCAATGACTGTGATGTTAAAGAGGGAAGGGAAGGAAGGCTTCTCCTCCCCCCCACCCGCCTTCAGTTCCATCCTCTGGCAGTCAGTTATTTTGCCCAAAGGCCACCAGTAATAAGGACAAGACACAGGAGGGATTCAAGACTAATGGATGTCCGTTGAATTGGTTCTAGTAGAATCGTACAGAATGCTCCATCACGGAATGTTCTCAATTGTTCTGAGATTGAACCACTTGCCAAACAGCCAGAAGTTACTCCAGGTTATTAGTTTGCTTCTAGCCTAGTACAGGTGGTCCTTGACTTACAACCATTCATTCAGTGACCGTTGGAAGTTACAGCGGTACTGAAAAAAAATGACTTACTGTTTTTCACACTTAACCAGTTGCAGTGACCCCCCCATGGTCACATGATCAAAATTTGGATGTTTGCCAACTGGTTCATATTTATCACAGCTGCAGTGTCTCAGGGTCACGTGATCCCAACCTTCTGATACACCAAGTCAACAGGGAAGCCAGATTCACTTAACAGCCGTGTTACTAACTTAACTACTGCAGTGGTTCACTTAACAGCTGTGGCAAGAAAGGTCGCAGAATGGAGCAAAATTCACTTAACAACTGTCTTGCTTAGCAGCAGAAATTTTGGGCTCAGTTGTGGTAAGTCGAGGACTTACCTGTACATGATTACTGTACACTATTTGGGGATGGCATATAAATAAAAATATGTGTAAATAAACACATACATACTTAAAATGTGGGCAGATTTATAGGAGCGCTTTGTCTTGCTCATCTCCTCTCTTTCTCTCTGTTCTGACTCAGATGATGGCAAGTGGCTCCATGCTGGCCCTCCCCGGAACGAGTACATGGAGCAGAATTTCCAGGGCCTGGCTGGGATCCTGAACCTTCCCCGTTTGGATGAAATTGGGCAAGTTTCCCAGCAGCACGCACAGCTCTTTGGCCATGCTCTAGAGAACTGGACAGACAGCAGCATCAGCAGTTTCTGGTCGGTAGCTGGACTCTGTATGACGAGCCCTTCCAGCTGCTCGCCCTTGGAGCTCTGTAACAAAACCTCCTGGAGCTCACTGTCCCCGGACCCCAAATCAGAACTGGGGACCATCAAGCCTGATGGACGGCTAAGGTAGCAGGGGCAGCCGGCAGCACATTCTTGGGATCAAGGAAGCATCCCCCATGGAGGGCATGGGGTGAGGGGGGGATATGGGCCCTCCTCTCTGCAGGGAAAACTCTTTATAAGACTTCCGCCTGTGAAAATGCACCATTGTCACATGGGACAAACACGGGGACAGAAACATTTTGTCGTGGCAGGCTTAGTGGTGCAAAAAGTGGCAGAGCAGAATTCCCCACCACCATTCTCAGGATTTGCTGGAAAGCAGCGAAGGCGAGGAAGAGGAGCAACATATTTATAAATCAGAGCAACAGAAACGTTCTTGACTGACAGATTCGACCGTTAGCTTCCTGGCTCCAGCACACCTAGGCCAGCGGGACCTCATCAATCATGGAATACGCTCTGCAAGATCAGGACGCTCTGTTCCCAAATGGTTGCTGGCAAAGCATTCTGGGAAATGACAGGATGGAGTTGAGGAATACAGGAAGCCAGTTGCTTGACAGACCTGTTTTCCATCTTCTTCCTCCTCCATCCTTTTGGTTCTTATTTTTTCCTCTTTTTTTTTAATAAAAGTGCATGTGTATATATAAGACAAAAGTGCAATATAGACCACCGTCATCTTGCCTCTCCCTCTTCTGTGTCAGTGTTTCCATTCTCTTCTCCAACTTGTTGTCTTGATGTTTTATAGGGTAAAAAAAATTGAGTGCCCTCCTAGGCATACTGGGTGATTGGATCTTGCTGCTAAGATTTAAAAGTTTTTTCTTCTTGGGGACAAAATGGAAATGAGCTCCCCTTTCTGGCCTTACAGGAGCTGGACCTTTCTGGCCAATGTGCCAAGCTCCCCTTTAAATGGAACTGCCAGTGGTGCCAAATCCAATGTACCCACTAATGCCTGTTGTGAGGTATCTCAAGCCTTAGCACCTCATCTATCTTCCTCTTTCAGTGTGAATTCTGGCTATGGCTACATATTGTTGGAGCTAGGCTAATGGCCCTAACTATTCTTTCTAAGAGATATCTGAAGCAAAGAATGATATATTTTTCCATTTGCTTCTTTTCATTGGATTGCTGGATATCTGCTATCTCCTGTTACCTCCCTCGGATTCCCCTAACCCAGGAGTAGGCAACCTTGGCTCTTTCATGACTCGTAGACTTCAACTCCCAGGAATTCTGGGAGTTGAAGTCCACGAGTCATAAAAGAGCCAAGGTTGCCTACCCCTGCCCTAACCTGTTTCCGCTCATCTTTGCGATGGTTTCTTCTGTGTTGTTTCATCTTTCCTTAATTTTCCATTAACACTTAAGCTTGTCAGGTTCAGACAGTACTGTGTCCTGCACACATCTACATCTCCTCAACCTGTCCTTTACTGGAAAAGCTATCCCTTTAAGAGCTGTTGCTCCTTCAGCCAAAAACATATTTCCCATCCTCAGAGAGTGATGCTATTCTGTACTGAATGTTGTCCAATGTCTATAAACATATTTCTTAGTCTGATCTGCTCTTTCAGATGCATCCTAGAAAACTGAGTGAACCACCCCCAGTTGAACTGGGGCCAGCAGTGTCAGAGTTTGTTGTCTTTTCTAATGGTTATCGGAAGGGGGAAGTATTAAGAAGTTATTCTTTGGAATATTTTTAATGTGTGCCATATCAGAATATACTGATCATACTGATCAGGGTTGGAGAGCTGATGCATTCCCAAATTGTTGAGTTCCAGCTTTCATAAGACACTGCTAACATGACCAGTGGTTAAGAAAGATGGAAGTTGTAGTCTGCCATTGGAAGAGCAACATGGGGAACCCATGACTTAGATTATTTCAAGTAGAGTGGAGTTATTGTTGCCTGTGAAAAGGGATTTTAGAATGTGTCTATCCCCCACTCTCCATCCCCCAGCTGAAGTTCTGAGGCAACTTCGGAAAGATTTTAAAAGCATTCTGGTCTCTGGTTTTGGTCCAATCTTTTCAAAACCTGCAGATGGTTAACCTCCTGGACCAAAAGTGTAGATGACCAGGGTTGTCTGGTTTTAAAAAATAACCTTTCGTTTTAAGGTCTGCACTGATGTAAGAAGAAACAAAGCAAATGGAAATGTTTATTGATGAGGTCTGGCAGAACAATAACACAATTGTTTAGGATCAATTCTGCCACACATAGCATAGACCATGGGGCTGGGGAAGAATAGTACCTCAACCTGGAAAAGGGACTCACAAAGCCACTTCCGTATTGTGCTAAAAGGAATAACTAGGCAGAGTGTCAGCTGCAACCCTTTCCAAAGAATGAGTGCTGAAATATGTGGTGTCAGAGCATTATGTAAAGTTGTCTTATATATGCAACACAAATATATCTATATCTCTACAGTGTGAAGAGTGTGAAATTCTTGCAGTTGATTTCCTTGACTCACTCAAGAAATACCAGGTTGTGTTTTGCAGGCAGGCTGGGGATCAGTAGCAACACAACCTGCTATCAGAAGGCAAAACTGGGAGAACAGGAAAAAGGAGACTGTATTTCAGTGGTTAAAACTGGCTTCCAAAAAATTCTATCGCCTTTGCTGGAAGGAAGAATTAATCTAGCACCCAATGACTGTTAACAACTTAAATTCTGAACACCAGACAAACTTTGTGCCTCTAGAAGAAGGATGGGATCTGTCACTATTTTCTCCTCTTTTTCTGAGCAGTCTATACAGTTCTTTACTAGCTTTATTTAATTAGGATTCCCAAATCCAGGATACATAAAAAAAAACCTGGATAATCACTGAATGACACTCAGAATACTATAGTTTTCTTGGCAATCTGTCCTGCCAATGAATGATTGTCCAGATTTTTGCAGCCTGGGTCCAGTAGTCCTGATTTAATCAGCTTTAAATGGGTAATCCAGTCCTCTGCAATTTGGTTACCTCCAGATAAATGGACTTCATGTCTCTGGATTGTGAGGAAGGACCAAAATAGCTTTGAACTTTGACAAGTAACGTCCACATATCTGAAAGGTGCTAGCCTGAGGAAGATTGAAATAATAACTTGTTTAGTACATTATGCTAATTAAGCAATTCACCGTCAGTCTGTATTTTATTTACAAATCTGGATTACTTTGTAAGATTTAGACTACTCACTAAGCTCTAAATAACATACTGTGGTGAAATTCATTAGCCTAAATCAGATGTCTTGAAATTATATAATTCTTCCACATTATCTGTTCATCTTATGTTCCTATTCGAAAAATTAATTTTGTCCAAAGCAAAATTTTGGAGGGCACATTGTATGGAGCCATTTGATATAGAAGCTGATTTCAAAAAGATTTTGTGTTTTCCCTTTTTAAAGTTTCTAATTCTTATGGTTATGGGCAAGATGATTTCATCAGCAATGCAGCTAAATTTGAGCAAAGTTTTTAGTGGTCAAATTGGATGGATCGCAGCCTCTGTTTTTAATTTTATTACATGTCTTCAGTTGTTGCAAGTAAGCAGACCTGGGATGGGATTCGGGATAATTAAAGCAGCAATTGCAGATGCTGGGTGCCAAATAAAATCAAAGTTAGTAATTATGCCAGTGGAGAGCAATGCAGAAAATGAAGTATTTGTAGAATCTGCTGATAGGAACATATCAATAATTTGAAGGGGATTGCAAACTTACTGTGTTTGCAGAGTCTGAATGAGTTCATTATCCTTCCATTGCAAAGGAGATGAATGAATAATCTTTGTGGAGTGCTTAAAGGCCACTTGCATAAAAGCTGGTATAAGAGCTGTCAGGTGTGATTAAGCTCACCATCTCCCCTTTTACTATCATACACTCCACTGAGGCTTTCTACCTTCTGATATGATCACGTTCTTTTAATGAACCTAATGAGAGCTGATTGAATAAATATGGCATTGTTCCAAACCATTCAGTAAGTAAACTTTGAAACAGCACCAGGGAGATTTATTTTCATTGGCTGGCTGATTGTATGGAAAGGGGGATGAGGTGGAATGGGTTTGTAGCCTTCATTTGCTGTGTGTCTGGTCAAGCCCTAAAATTGTGGGAGTAGTCTGTGAATGTTGCAAAAGTTCTGGCTGTAATCTCAATGGTTTTGCTTCTTAGCATACATATACTGTAGCGACAGTGCTCTCAGATCCATGCCCAGGATGGTTTCAAAGAACATTGTGAAGACCCAAAGCTTGAATCTGATCACAATGTGTCTCTCTACTGGATCCTTCATACAGCAAGGAATGCACAAGGAAAGTCAGTGCTTCCCCCTTCCATTAGTTCATTGCCTACAAACTCCTACTAGAAACATTTGCAGATATTGGAGACTTAGCCTGCAGTTGCAGTTCCTTCACGAATAGAAACTTTGGGCTGCTGGGAAGGGTGGTGGAGAGGAACATGGATTCCAAGCATCGCCCTCAGCTTGGAAGTGTCCCATCTTTTCTTCCCTTCTGTTTCTGACGTTTTATCTCCATAAAGTAAGATGAAATCTAGCTATATTATTTGTTAGGATCTCATATGAATAGGGAATAGTAGAGCTGTAATCTGGACTTGCGAGTCAAAATAACATCCCAGGGAAAACAATGGCAAAATTTCATTTTTATTGTCAAGAAAATGATATGGCCATGCTTAGGCATCAAACATCATTCGATGGAGGCCTTAGCCATCTGGAAATCATGGTAATATATAGAACCAGAAATTTTTTTAATAGTCCAAGAAGTCCTTTTCTATAAAAGCAAGTAGAGGTCATGTACACTAACCTGGACTCAAGAGGATCTTCTTTAGGTATAGGGCAGGGGTAGGCAACCTTGGCTCTTTTATGACTCGTGGACTTCAACTCCCAGAATTCCTGAGCCATGCCAAGGTTGCCTACCCCTGGATAGGGTCTCCTGCTCCTGCTGCTCCCTTCCAACTCTGTTATTCAGTATTCTGTATCAATTTCCCTTACAGTTTTTGCCTTTTTACATGTACCCTCTGCAATAAAAAAGAAAACATATTTCTGAAAATACAGTGTTAAATTCTAAATCTACATAGCACAACGTTTGTCCCTACTTAGTTTATTCCAGAATAATATTGTATGATATTGAGGTTATTCACCAGGCATAATATTGACCAAACTCCATTTCTAGTTCTGGTTTTTACCTTATTTCCAGCTTAAAGTGTGTGTAAAATATGTTGGTAACGTGATTAAATTTTTGATGGCACAGATTACAATTCATTGTCAGCTATTTATACTATTTGGTCACCATTTTTAACACTATAAAGGAAAAGGAGCAAATGTCTTAAAATTATTTCATTTCTCCTTAGTTCTAGGTTGCTTCTCTCCTTGATTAGTTTCCATCCATTGCTTCTTGTCCTGCCTTCAGGTGCTTTGGAGAATAGCTTGACTCCCTCTTCTCTGTGGCAACCCCATAGATATT